TTAATATACGTCGTTATTGTCATCATTATTATTATTGTCGTCGTCGACCAGGAAAAATGTACGACTCGTTTTTTCGATAATAGATGGCTTTTGACTTAACCAAGCGATGGCAGCATTGCACATTCGAACGTGATCAACCACGTATGACGGCTGTGATAATCAGCGATGGCAACATTGTCACATATACGATGTGACGTGTTATAATTAATTAAAATTAAAATTAATAAAATGAATTAAAATAAAATATTAATTATAATTAAAATGAAATATCGAGATTGTCGTTGATGAAGATCTAGGTATTTACCGCGTCGAGGAAGAGGGTGTAATAATAGATATTCAAGAATTAAGCGTCTAGGTGTTCGCCGTCGAGGAATTAAGCGTCTAGATGTTTGTCGTCGAGGAAGTGGATGTCTAGGTCGAGGAAGTGAGTGTCTAGGTGATCGCTATTGGGGAAATAGGTATCTGGGTGTTCGTCATCGAGGAAATGAGTGTTTAGGTGTTCGCCGTCGAGGAAATGGGTTTCTAAGTGTTCGTCGTCGAGGAAGTTTGTGTCTAGGTGTTTGTCATCGAGGAAATGAGTGTCTAGGTGATCGCCGTCAAGGAAATGGGTGTCTAGGTGTTCGCCGTCGAGGAAATTGATGTCTAGGTGTTCGCCGTCGAGGAAGTGGGCGTCTAGGTGTTCACTATTGAGGAAATGAGTGTCTAGGTGTTCGCCATCGAGGAAATGGGTGTCTAGGTGTTCGCCATCGAGGAAATGGGTGTCTAGGTGTTCACTATTGAGGAAATGAGTGTCTAGGTGTTCGCCATCGAGGAAATGGGTGTCTAGGTGTTTGCCGTCGAAGAAGTGGGTGTCTAGGTGTTTTCTACATGTTCGCCGTCGAGGAAGTAGGTGTCTAGGTTTTCGCTGTCGAGGAAATGGGTGTCTAGGTGTACGCCGTCGAGGAAGTGGGCGTCTAGGTGTTCGCCGTCGAGGAAATGGGTATCTAGGTGTTCGCCGTCGAGGAAGTGGGTGTCTAGGTGTTCGCTGTCGAAGAAATGAGTGTCTAGGTGTTTGCCGTCGAGGAAATGGGTGTCTAGGTGTTTGCCGTCGAGGAAATGGGTGTCTAGGTGTTCGCTATTGAGGAAATGGGTGTCTAGGGATTCACTATTGAGGAAATGAGGGTCTAGGTGTTCGCCATCAAGGAAATGGATGTCTAGGTGTTCGCCGTCGAAGAAGTATGTATCTAGGTGTTTTCTACATGTTCGCCATCGAGGAAGTGGGTGTCTAAGTGTTCGCTATTGAGGAAATGGATGTCTGTTCGCGTTGCTCGCACTTAACATCTTCGTTCTTTCTCTTTTCAACGCTTGAATATATATTTATTCCGATTTAAGTACAAACATTTTGGAGATTTCAAGCAATGCGAATAAACCTATTATCGCTCACAGAAGACTGAGTTTTTACGTCTGATTAACATATCCATTAGATCTAAAAATATAGATCAAACAGGTACAAGAGCTCACTGAGCGCTCACTGAGCGGCCGTACATCTGAGGTTATGTTCCAAAATTCACTGTCAGTGATAACAATGTATAGTATACGTAACGTAAATTGTAGATTTTCAACGCTGGCAGTGAATTTTGAAACACAGCCTGGATACACTCTGGCTGCGTTCGGGGAGGCACTTTAGAACAGCTGGACTTTCAAAACAAATTACGATTAAAATTGGAGTGAGTTATGATAAGACGTAATATTAATGCTAGTTTGGTCTTGTAAATGGTACAATTGCTACAGTTATATCAGTTATACAGGATAAAACTATAGAAAAAATAAAAGTTCTTTTACCGTCTCGTTTAGAGTATTTTATTGAAAGAGTAAATGTTAAGTTTCCATTGATGGATAGAGTTTACGTTATTAGAAAACAATTTCCATTATGTTTGAGTATGGTATTACCATTCATAAAAGTCAAGATTTGAGTTTACAAAATGCTGTTATGGATTTAGGTAACAATATATTTAGTTGCGGTCAGGCTTATGTTGCATTATCTCGAGTAACATCCCTTGATGGACTGCATTTAAATAATTTTGATCCTTCAT